TAACAACCGCCCATACACTTCCAAAAGTGCGTCGGTGACATAGTGGTTAGGACTCTCGCCGACCATGCACATGGTCCGGGTTCGAGCCCACGCCGGCGCACACCTGATATCTATGGTCGGCCTGCAAAATTTGGGCTACCGATATCCATGCTGAAAATTCCATACTTGTACCGAAAATACAGTGTAGAATCAAGCTGTAAATCAAAAAAAAAGCACACGAAGCCTTCCTGAGCATCATTCCCCTTCACTGTAGTGTTTGAACAGTTTCAGTATTATCAAAATCTATTTTGTGACTTGACAATACGATACCTATAGTCATAGCTGAAAACTCTTCCAGATTGTTGAATTTCTTAGAAGTGATATGGATGGATGCTTCACGGTATTTTCGTTTGCTTTCATTTAATTTCACAACACAACTGTCCTATAATATGTGTGTCGAAATCTACACATAAATTTTTATAAGCGCAACTAGACAGAGAATCTTGTGCAACGTTATCCTTCTACTGAATGACGTTAATTTGTAATACATCTTATGTTCTAAAGACAACTTCAATATCTCATTTGTTAACAATGATGTCATTATTATGTGTACATAGCATGTTCTTTTATTGCTTTCCGTTCCCACTGGAATACCCAAGACTCCAAGTTAGAGCCTTGAATTTTTGGTAGCCGTGGTTTAATTTCTACGGGGTGGGGTTACCAGCCTCTTGCCAAACCTTCTCTCTTCACCGCACTTACTACTGGTTTAGCAAACTTTAGGGATCAAATCTTGACCTACATGAGCGCTCTACCACTACTGAGCCACCGACGCACGAGCATAACATGCACAAGAAGACAATTGTGGTAATCCATAATTTCGGAGTAGCCGTCATTTATTTATTTAAGCGCATAAAAACTTGGTACAATATGGCACCAAGAAGGATGCACCACACAATAATAATAAAGCAACATAGATCAAAATAAAAAAAGAAAGAAAAGAAGAATATATATATATAAGTAGAGAACCGATAAAGAACTTCATCTGGAAGGAAAACAGTCATGCTTAACAAGTTCAAACAGTATTCGTTAACTATCATCGGGAAGGGAAGAAAAAAGGAAATTGCAACACGTGTAATAGCACGCGATAAGTTTCATTGATTGTTTGTTGCTTCATTCAATTCATTGTGTGAGGGCTGAGATACTACCCGGGCGCCCAGACCGAAGCAGGTGGTTTTATTAAGGGACCACCCCACGAGCCTTTGACTTGGAGTCTAATCCGAAAGGCAGCGGAGCAGCGTCAGGAGTGCATTCCCATGGTTTCCGGTGTCCCATATGGGTTCATACGCCATTTGATCCGATTGGATACTGGAGCCCATGTAACCCATGGTAACTGCTTTTAGTTTAACCGCTATCCAAACAACCTTCCTGACATGGTAGGAGCTGCAGGGACAGATTCGCAGTCAGTTTAGCATGTTGGGTCATTACGGTATTCAAGCCCGACCACCACGACAAGGTAGCAGTTATCGGCCGGGAATACCCGTCAGATAACATCTGAACTGAATTCGCCAGCTGGCTACGTAATATAAAGATTTTCGTAACAAATCTTGGTTCCTAATGGTTTTTACAAATTTTACGCTATTCCTAATCAACAACAACAGATTACTTTGCTTATGGGAATTGGCACTGCGTTGAGAATACTTTGCTACTCAGTAAACTCGATAACTTCAAGATGCTTTTACTACTCCCAAATAAAATTTCTAAGTCTGTTAGAAGAAAACCAGTCATGAATAATCCCTATTTTGAGATAACAGAGGAGATTCACAGTTCAGATGGATATTTCTGAAAGTGATAATGAAGCTGGACAGCTGTTTCGTCCTAGTTTGGGACTCCTCATCGGTAGGCGCCCACCGGGGTTCGAACCTCTAGGACTTTCATTACGACTTAGAACTACTGATAATTAGTTGGTCCCACCAATATTTACGTCACTTCTTCGACTTAATGAATACGTCTTACACTTTCCGAAAAAATACTATATCGTTGATTGAATCACTCTATCAACTCAAAACAAGTATTTTGACCAAATTTAAGCACATATGCACTGAATACATTATAAGATCTGTCTGTTTTCGACATAGAACTTTGCACAAATGTGCGGAAGTTCAAGTCGCCACATTCCGTGTAGCACGCGAAGCAAGAGAAGAAAGTACAAGAAAAGCATAATAGAAACAGTGAGCAGAGGTGTGAGACAAAGGAGTAATAAAGAAATACAAAACAGTTTCATTGAAGATCATAAGTCACAGGGAGTGGATGCATCTGCGCCACTGAGAACGATTTTGAGCCATGTCACCAATTGTTTCCAACCATAGATTTTTACCGTCCCGAGGACCCCAGCCTGGAAGTCTACACCTTCCTACGTGGCTAAGACCAACTGTTGTGGATTTCATTGACTGATGCCAAGTTTTTGTTTGACCGCCGCTAGCTTTTTTCCAGCCTGACCCTATATCCGCTAACATAGCTCGTCGAGGGAGGCGATGACTTGGCATACGTAACACATGTCCTAACCATCTCAGTCGATGTAGCTTCACGACTTCGTCGATTGATTTCCCCTGTTTACCTAGAACTCTACGCCTAACCTCCATGTTGCTCACCTTATTATGCCACTTTACACGGGAAATAGAACGCAGGCACCTATGATCAAAGACAGCTAGTCTTTTCATGTCTTCCACTCTCAGTGGCCAGGTCTCACAACCATAAAGGAGGACGGAGCGGACTGATGAGCAGTACACCCGCCCTTTGGTCGATAGTCGAACATCTCGTCTACGCCAGAGTCGGCGTAAACTAACAAATGCGAAACGAGCCCCTTGTATTCGTGCTGAGATTTCGTCAGAGATCAGCCCGTTGGGGCTGATGGTACTTCCCAAATAAGTGAAGCGGTCAACGTGCTCTACCACTTCACTTCCTATTTTTAAACTAGGCGTCGATGTAGTCCAGTCCTGTAACATCATCTTGCATTTGGCGGGAGCGAATCGCATGCCAAACATTCGTAGATTGCTGTTCAAGGTGTTTAGAAGACTCTGCATTTTGTCAGCGTCTTCGCCTAGAAGGACTATATCGTCTGCATATTCCAAGTCAACGAGATTATTCCCAGGTAGCAAGTCAATCCCTGAGTCGCTGAAGTCACCTAGGGTTAAGTCCATTAACACATCTATGATGAAGTTGAATAGAAAAGGAGATAATGGGCATCCTTGACGGACACCACTGGTCGTCATCAGTTCAGATGACAGCTCGCCGTAAGCCCTCACCTGGCTGTATGAGTACGAATAGAGTGCCTTAATCAGTGCAATATATTTTCTCGGAATTCCCTTTACAGCCAAGCATCTCCAGAGAACTTCCCGATCGACAGAGTCGAATGCTGCCTTTAGGTCAAGAAATATAATGACTGTTGGACGCCGGTAGGAATGCCTATGTTCTAGAATCTGTCGGAGGGTGAAGATATGATCAATACACCCTCTTCCTGGTCTAAAGCCTGCCTGGCTCTCTCGTGTTTGTGCTTCCCGAGCACCACTCAGTCTACGCATGATTATTGAGCCTAAGACTTTAGATACTATATTAGTCAAGCTAATCCCTCTGTGATTATCACAGGAAGACTTGTCTCCCTTCTTGTATATGGGGATAATCAGTGACTTACACCAACCCGATGGGACTTCTTCTGATTCCCAGACGCTGCCTAGTACCTCAGTTAATCCGGACAGTAAGCTGTCTCCACCGTACTTAAATACCTCTGGCGTCATTCCATCAGGTCCCGCTGCTTTGCCTAGTTTCAGATTGGTGACAGCTTTAGTAACCTCAGTTAGTGACGGAGGACCTGTATCTATATCCCATTCAGGGAGGTGTTGGATGCTCGGAAGGTTGAGCGTGGCTGTGGGCAAATTAAACTGCTCCTCATAATGCTCTTTCCAACGATCCAGTCGTCTATCCTGTGAGCTAATTATAGTGCCATTTTTTTCCGAGATTGTCTCACTAATGATTTGTCTTCTCCCACCCGTTTCCCTGATGAGTCCAAAGAGTTGCCTGGTGTTGCCTATCCTCAAAGCTTTCTCCATCTCTTTGGCTTTTGTCGCCCACCACTGTTCACGGTCCTTGCGGAGACTTTTCGTAAGTTTCCTCTTGTGCAGCTTTCGCTCCTCATTGAATTCGGAGCTCGCCGGAATAAGTCTTCTAGCATCTATCAGTTCGGATGAGGCGGTGGAGATCCAGTGGTTTTTACTCACCTTTGGGTTTACCTTATTCACAGCTTTTACAGCTGTATCTATGGCTGCCTGGATATTTTTCCAAGCTTCTTCAGGGTGAGCACAGCTGTCGAACACAGATATGTGTTTAGCTAGTTCTTCCTGAAATACGGATTTAGTTTCCTGATCGAGCTGGGGACGTGATGGTTTTACCGCCAGCTGTTTCCTACGTCCGTTCAGTCGTAAGCACACCCGAGCGCGGACCAGTGCATGGTCGGTATCTACGCACGTGTTCCAGAAGGAGCGACAATCTCCTACCGACCCACGCCAACGATAGCTTATTGCTATGTGGTCTATTTGTGTCCAGCGTTGGTTTGATGAAGGGGGTCTCCAAGTCAAACAGTGTCTCTCCTTGTGTTTGAAGTTAGTGCTTACAAGAAACAAATGATTATCAGAGCAGAACTGTAGGAGACGGTCACCGTTGTCGGTTCGCTGGCACGGAACTCCATAGGTGCCACCGACATCCTTCTCAGATTGACACAATTTCCCTACTTGAGCGTTAAAGTCACCAGCTAGAACGACTATGTCTGAGCGTTTAGCCTTTCTCACCAAACTAGACATTATAAGATACAAAGATTCCGATTAAAAAAGTAAAACAAAATACAACAACATATTTATTGAGTTAACAAAACCAATAATTCATAAATATGAACATAAATACAAAGTACAATACTGTAATTTGAAACACAATCATTATCAGTAAACGTTTAGTTTTTTGTTTGTTTGTTTTTCTTAACCAGAATTACTGCATAAAGCGTTCAACGCTTTTGCCACCAATGGAGAATCACGTTCAAGGATACCAGCATTTATAGACACAGTTTCATAAGCTTGATTTAAAGTACGTACACAAAACACTGGATTTGCATTGAAAAATTCCTGAAAGAAGAGGGAAAAAAGTTGTGAAATAAGAAGATAAAGCTTTCGAGAGATTTAAAAATAACACGATCTCTGTCAATCACTAGTAACCACTACTCATGGAAGTAATCTTGTGAACCGAGAATCAACTCAACAAATTTAATTTATAAAACACAACATAATCGAGCGAAGAATATTCTTTTCGATAAATTCCTCTTCTGGCTCTACAATTATATACATGTTTATATACACAGAATATTCAAGGTTGGTAGTTAATAACAATATTAGTGTTTTTTAAATAATATCGATTTGTAAAGCAAGATCAATGAAATTACAGTTCATTAAAGATGCTTAAATTATAATAGTAATAAAGATATAATAGCGAGTAGGATATCAACTAAAATTAGGAAATTTTCACGAAAATTGAGAATCATTCAAACCTAGATGGCCAAGGTAAGGACAGTGTCTGAACTAACTTCTTTTGGACGCACAAATTAGACTTTTTAATGTGGATCCCAACAGCCTCAGCAATATTTAGTAATCGAACTCTTAAGGCGAAGTTGAGATTTGTTGGTATCCGATAAATAACTCTGAAAGCTTGGTTAGCATCAATCCTATGTTCTGTATTCACAAGATGAGCCAGAATGGCGCTACGAATGGATTCTGTTTGTCCTTTATACTTAACCATTACGCAGGGTGATGTTCGGAAATTTGACGAGAAACACACCTAATTGTGCGGCCTATGTAAGTGGCTCCATATGAGCAGTTAAATTGGTAGGTACACATGGATGAGGCGAAATTAGGCAGTTTGTCTTTTACTCCCGAACGCAGAAGAGAAGTAGTCTTAAAGATACAACGTAATTCAGCAGCAGGGAATGCTCGTTTTACCGCAGTTCTAATACGCTGTGTTAGTATCTCGCTAGTGTTGTCCCAAGGAACTGCATCTGAAAGAATAAGGCCTTTTTTGGAACTGTTGGTAACTTCGGCTGCTTTGGTTTCAAATTCATATTCTTATCAATAAACTTTTCAGGATAACCATTCTCACTTAGCAACCGTTCCAAAAAAGGCCTTATTCTTTCAGATGCAGTTCCTTGGAGACAACACTAGCGAGATACTAACACAGTAACTTAGAAATCCGGTAAAAAGAGCATTCCCTGATGCCGAATTACGTTGTATCTTCGAAACCACTCCTCTTTTGCGTTCGGGAGTAAAAGACAAACTGCCTAATTTCTCCTCATCCATGTGTATCTACCAATTTAACTGCACCTGTGGAGCCATTAACATAGGCCGCACAATTAGGCGTGTTTCTCGTTGAATTTCCGAACATCACCCTGCGGGGTTAAGTAAAGGACAAACAGAATCCATTCGTAGCGCTATTCTGGGTCATCTTGTGGATACAGAACATAAGATTGATGTTAACCAAGCTTTCAGAGTTATTTATCGGATACCAACAAATCTCAACTCCGCCTTAAGAGTTCGATTACTAAATATTGCTGAGGCTGTTGGGATCCACATTAAAAAGCCTAATTTGTGCGTCCAAAAGAAGTTAGTTCAGACGCTGTCCCTACCTTGGCCATCTAGGTTTGAATGATTCTCAATTTTCGTGAAAATTTCCCTAATTTCAGTTGATATTCTATTCGCTATTATATTTTTATTACTATTATAATTTAAGTATTTTTAGTGAACTGTAATTGCATTGATCATACTTTACAAATCGATATTATTTAAAAAACACTGATATTGCTATTAACTACCAACCTTGAATATTCTGTGTATATAAACATGTATATAATTGTAGAGCCAGAAGAGGAATTTATCGAAAAGGATATTCTTCGCTCGATTATGTTGTGTTTTATAGATACCTGAATGAATATTTTTGCTATATTAAAATTTAATTTAAACTGAATTCAGTGGAAATGGGTTTTTTTTGCTTTTACAAAGATTGGATATATGAAGAGTTGTTGTCTAGATCAAGTGAATAAATAGGCCCATCATAAACGTGTTAATCACAAGAAGTAGAGATCCGACAGAGAGGATGAAACACACCATATTTTACAACAAAACAGTACTACTGACAGACAAGAAGCCGACATGTTGTCAACCTGAGACCGAGCACTTCGATTCAATCAATCAACGGGAAAATCTAAAATTCAGTTAAATAATTAATATGACCCCGTTGCAAAAGAGGTGACCAGCTCTCGTGGCCCAAGTGGTCTAGTGGATAACGCTTTGGCTGGTGTTTGAAACTATGGGCACTGGGTTCAAGCCTCAATGGGAACATCATCACTCACTGGGAAATGCAGGTACATCCAGCTGGCGGACGAGTCTCAAATAGGACGAAATGCGCATCCTGGATTCCACTGCTAGTCCCCATCCACAAATTAGACAAATGAATACCTTAAGATGAACAGTGTGAATGTCAGAGAAATACTTACAGATATTTATGTATTGAGAAAGTAAAAAAAAGTCTCACAATCACTGGTGTGTTGGATGCTCCAGACAAGAATCTATAGGCTTATTTATTAGTAGGCTAGTAAAATGTAATCTGAAGAGACTTCAGCTAAGCTTCTGTAATTGAATTACTGTAAGTAAACCAATTCACTAATTCGGCCTAAAACTTATTAGTACTATGTGTAAGTTTCTGAAATAATGGAGAAGATTTGTAGCTCAGGTGGATGATTTTGAATAAGTTGTGTTCTCTGAGCTGGTTGATTTAATTGCGAAGCTTTTGTCGTCCCCTCTTATAGACAAGATCTTCAGTGAAGGTTTTAGTATGGAATGAACTCGTTTGGATTCTGCATGATTGATATAACTGTGTCTCCTGACAACCATTGCCGTGACTAGTCGTTAATTTACGTCTCTATTCACCGAACCCGAATCGAAGAGCACAAATTGGCTGTAAAAAGATATGATATATATTCTCTCATATCCATACATGTATACAACCACGGCCACAAATTTGATGATTGGGAGAATGTGGAAATTTTAAAAAGAGTTAAAACTAAAATTACTGCTAGGGAATTTCTAGACGGTCCTGGGTTCAAACCCTGGCCGGTGGTTGCGTACTGCTGAAGTGTCCCAAACTAGGACGAAACAGCTGTCCAGTACTCCTTGCAGGGTTTCCAATGGTTCTTTAACCAATGTCAGCTCATGATGAAATCCTGTAACCAATTTCTAGAAGCCTGGTAGGTACTTAAGTGAATCAGCAACTAACAAACACATGGCTATTGACAAATTTCACTAACTAATGAAAAGTAAATCACATGAAAAGAAAGTCAATAAAAATGATCAATAGAGACGTAAATTAACAACCACTCACGGCAATGGTTGCTAGGAGATACAATTATATCATTCATGGAGAATTTAAATAAGTGCATTTCATACTCAAACCTGAGCTGAAGATGTCGTCTAGAAGAGGGGACGACGAAAGCTTTGCAATTAAATCAACCAGCTCAGGGAACACAACTAATTCGAAATATGTAAGTCTTATTGAGGAAAGCATAAGTAAACTTTATAATTATTAGAAATGAGAATACACCACTATCTTTATTTATTCAATCTCCGGGCGAAAACAGAAACCTACAAGCACTTTAGTTAGTATTTGAAATTCGAATATTAGGAAGTCAAGAATTTGTTCACATCTAGTCATCTAAGCAGACATACAGACATACTTAGCTAACATGGTACCCATCACAAATATGTACCCCTGCAACCCTCCTCCAGAAAACAGGTACCCACCCAGCTCTACGTTCTATAATCTTACACCTAAAACACCACCTACTTAATCAGGATAAAAGTCATTCCTTTTAAGTCCAAATGAAGCATATGCAAATGTGGTAAAATTGTAGCACAGAAAACAATACGAATGTAGAACAGTAAAATAATGTGTAGCCGATATCAGAATTTTTATACTTCGAAACATTTCTTAGCACAACTTTTGTGCAGTTTTCGTTGATAATACTTCTTCTTTGCATTAGCAATCATTTAATAATAAGGAAAATCGTCATCATTAACACAATTTTCCTAAAGTCAACTAAATTTAAGTGACCGTTTATCATTATTACAAGGAATAATTTATCAATTTACACCACACCCCACCCCACACCCCGAGGAATAAGGGGCAACGAACATTGAAGTATACCTATACACCGAATAAATAATACGAAATGGGAATATATGCAGCACAAGATCACTATATGATAATCACATAAGTTGGTGCTACTTATGCAACAACAGAAGACAAGGGCCAGTTAACAGATCCTTTGTTAAGAAAATCAACACATATTTATCGATTTTCATGTACATTATTATAGATTATTGTTAGCAGAAAAACACAGTTCTCCGACTGGTTGTTTCTCACAGAAAGTTAATCTTGCATCTCTTTGTGGCTGTTTCTTGAATGTCAGATCATCTATATGTTAACTGTATCCGCCTACGCAAAGCCTTTCTTCTTATTTTTCTCACTACCAATATTGAGGACATAAGCATTGACGTAAATTACTGTCCACCAATTTTGACTAACAGACAGCTCTCATCACACTTATTTCACAAAAAATTGTTTCCATAACAGGTCTTACGGCGCTCAAAATCAATGATAGGCTAGCCTCAGTAACAGGAATGAAAACTGAAAGACGCTATGTAGATGTATTATTCACCCCTTTACTATCTACGAGATTTTGAACTTTTTCTTTAACCAATCCCTTTCGTCTCAGGCATTTTTATTGATTTTTTTCATATACTTTTTAACACGACTGTTTGTACAGTTGAGTGATTCGACAACAATGTTCTTTTGAGAACTTTCGGTATAAGTAAAAAACAAAGATTATAATCAAAATCACTGGAAATGAGTCTCTCTTTGGTAGATTGATAGAAAGTGGTTAATACTAGAATCAATATTTTAAGCTATTAGTTGCAGGAGGTGGAAGATTTAGAATTCTAATTTTAGATTTATGCGTTTAAGTGGGGACATGATAATTATCATGTTTCAGTGAAGCAGAAGATATCTGATGGAGAACAGTCGTATTTGTTCGTGTTTCATTGAATCACCCATTGCGTCTCAGTATCCTTATACCAGCCGTTTATTAATCCAATCGGATAGAAAACAATTAGTACACAAATATAGAATACGAGTTGATCACGGAGTGATATCAGTTAGAGAACCATCGAAAACCCACCAGGGAGTACTGGACAGCTGTTTCATCCTAGTTTGGGAATCATCGGCAGTACGCACCCACCCACCAAGGTTCGAACCCAGGACCTCCAGGTTACAAAGCAAGCTTGTATACTATTCAGTCACTGGGATCCGATTCAATGGCTCATGAATTCTAAATTCTACCAATTCGTGAATTAGCATGACCCCAACCAATGTCGCCGGTTCTGGGTTCGAACCTGGGTGGTGGTTGCGTGCTGAGGATGATTCCTAAACTGGGATGAAACAGCTGTCCAGTACTCCGTAGTTTCTTCAATGGTTCCCTGAATGATATCATTCAGTGATCAACTCGTAAAAACAAATTTAATCCTTACAAACCAACTATAGAAAATATAAAATAACTAGTTAGAGAATGCTCAGTTATGACACAGAGCATTTATAGTAAGAACAGATAGTCATAAACGAAAGCTTACTAGCCATCATAACTCCCTATAAACTGTGTTCGACATCTCATTGTGGTGAATGTCAACAATAACAACAAAAATGAAGTCACAAAATAACGTCAAAGTAGAATATAACCGAAAGGGAATAAGATCAAAAGCAGGTTAAAGATGATGGGTAACACTTGTGCAAATATAAAAGTGAAATTACATCGACTAAAATGGTTAGGACATGTGTTACGCATGCATCCCTAGCCATCGATCGCCTTCCTCGACGGTCAGTGTTAGCTGACATACGGTCAGGTTGGCGGTCAAACCAAAACATGGCTCCATCAGTCAATGAAATCCACAACAGTTAGCTTAAGTCGGTCAGCCACGTAGGAAGATGTAGACTTCTTGACTGGTTGGGGTTCTCGCGACGGTAAACACCAATGGCTGGAGGCAACTGGAGGTGATATGACTCAAAATCCTCGTTCTCAATGGCTGGCGGAGATGCATCCACTCTTTGTGACTTATAATACCCCATGAAACTATATTGTTCTTCGTTATTACTATTCCTTTGTCTTGCACCTCTGTTTACCGTCTCTATTATGCATTTCTTTTACTTACTTCTCTTGCTTTGTGTGCTACATGGAGGGAGAGTGGCGACTTGCAATGCCGCACATCGGTGCAAAGTTCTATGTCGAAAAAAGACAGACAGTGAGGAATACATTCGGCGATGTTAGATAGCACTGTACTACTTTTTATCATCATTTCAAACAACTCTGAGCTTCTGGTTATGTATTACTTGCCATACAGCACCATCATATAGGTGTTGAATGAAGTTTATAAATTTTGAGGTGGTTGTGTTCTCTAAGCTGGAAAGACAGAATACAATGGGCACTCAGACGAATCATTTGCAGACAACTTCAAAAACCCGCATTAGATAATCCAGTTTTAATCAACATAAGATCTAACACTAAATAGAAACGAGTAAGGTTATAAAACGTAGAGAGATGAAAATGTCACGCTAATGGAGAACCGTTCTAAAGCAAGACAGAAAGGGAATATTATTCAACAGTTAGTTTGCAGGAATTTTATTTGTTCCAGGTTTGACCACAGATTGATATCAGTTAGAGAACCACTGGAAGCCAGGGATTACTGAAGAGATATTTTTTCCTAGCCCTTGACTCATCATCAGCACGCAGCCATCAGGACTAGAACCCAGGACGTTTCGGTTACAAGGCGAGCCCATAGACCATCCGGTCACTGGGACCCGCTTCCAACTTCTACCAATTCCTGATTTTAGCGCGATCACCAACCACCCAATGTCATCGGCGAACATTTGTCTTCACTCCCGACCGGATGGACCCCACTAGTCACGAATTCTCAACAGAACACCAAACAACTTCTTCCTGTAGTCCGTCACTAGTGAGTGTGAAAATAGTCTATAGGGATTTGATTTATTTTAAAGTTTGACCACGGATTGATATCACAGTTAAAGGGAATTACTTCGTACAGTCTAAACAAAAACTTACTCTAATTTCAGCTAAATCAGACTTCGTGGAAAATCCGGATAAAACATCCTATGAAGAAAAAAGAAAGAGAATTAACTATCTGTATAACTGAGAAAAATAATTATGCAAAACTGGTATCACTAGTCTAATATTTGTAGATGTAACCCCCCCCCTCCACTAACCTCCAGCTGTAGCATGGAATGGAATACACGTAAGAAAAAATCGTCATCTCAATCTACACAACCAAATAGTATTACATACAAGTCCTTGAAGAATAAGTGCATTTCATAAGCTAGTGAATAAAAACCAAACTCTTCTTCATTTCTCCTGGAAGTGACTGAAACAGAAGGAGCATTAGTGTTGAATGGCAGCAGAGTCCAGGGGAAAACTGCTTGCATATGTATTAAGATCTTATGGCCAGCTTCTAACCACTGGAAGGTTAATTAGGATGTAGTGTTCGAAGTCAACTTTTTCTAACCGCCCCACTCCACAGCGGAGAGGCGGCATAGCCAGCTTGCCGGTCATTTGAAGGGAACCTCTTGCTGCTGTTTCGCCCGATATAGTGTAAACGACTTCCACTATGATGGTGACTGCATTTAGTCTTACCGCAATTCGAACGATCTATCTGACACAACAGAACCCGCAATAATATCAGTTCCAGCTGATGTATCCCGCTGGGTCACTGAGGTATGCGACGTGGCAAGTAGGCGGCCATTACAAGAGAAATTCATCTCGAGTGAATTCAAGTCAAAATTCCAAATCCTATAGATAGACTGTCACAAAACTATAAAAAATTAAAATCCACTAATAACAAAAACAAATACAACGTTCTCACCTCCAATAGACTAGGCAGTAAAAAGTGACCCTTGTACAATTCAGTAATTCTAGCCCATTCACTTTTTATATGATTCCATGTCAACCGTCTAGCTTGAAGAGACGAAGATGAACAAGCAATTAGACCATGGATCCTATCTTGATCTTTGACTGGACCATTTGGATCTAAACAAAAGCGTAGAACATCTAACAATGGTGAAGAAGATGCATCACCGACATTATTATAATTTGTCTCTCTGGCTGCACCAAGAGCCCAAAGAATATGATTGCGTTCTTCTGGAGAATTCGTAGAACTGTAGGTCTAAAAAGAATACGATCAATATGAAAAGGCTGAACAGAAGATGCAGTAAAAGATTTAATGAGAATTAGAAAGATACAAACACAACAGAGTAGTGATGCAACATTTGCTAATACATCAGTCAAAAAGAGATGCTCATCACAGATAAAAAAAGCAATATTGTTAGTCCGGAGGAGAATCCCAACCGCTATTACACCAATGTAATGAAAATAGGATACTCATTTATTTCGTAAACCCAGCACAGTCGATAACCTTTATTTCTAACGTGGCAAACTGAAATTATACTTGACCACAAGATTTATCCGTTTTCGAATAAACCAAAAAATATGGCTTGCATTGATATTTCCCAAGTTGCAAGGATAAACTGATAACCAAACTCCTCCTATTTTTCATGTATTGGTTTGTACAGATTTGGTTGATTGGTTACAGGATTTCATCATGAGTTGACATTGGCTAGAGAACCATTGGAAAACTTGGGAGTACTGGACAGTTGTTTCGTCCTAGTTTGCGACTCTTCACCAGTACGCACCCACCGGGATTCGAACCCAGGACCTCCTGGTTACAAGGCGAGTTCGTATACCATTAAGCCACTCACCGGGTACCGATCCAATGGCCCATGGATTCTAACTTCTGACAATTCACGATATAGCGCAACCGCTAGCCAATGTCTTCGGCGAGAATTTGTCCTCATGCCCGACTCGCTATAACCTACTGGTCTCAACGTCCCACTAGAACCCAAGGTAACTACCTACCTGAATAGGGCCAGTCGCTAGTGAGCTGGTTCTCTAACCAATGTCAGCTCATGATGAAATCCTGAAACCAATCAACCAAATCCCTACAAACCAATACTTGAATACCAATGAGATGCTCACTAGCGACTGGCCCTATTCAGGTAGGTAGTTACCTTGGGTTCTAGTGGGACGTTGAGACCAGTAGGTTATAGCGAGTCGGGCATGAGGACAAATACTCGCCGAAGACATTGGCTAGCGGTTACGCTATATCGTGAATTGTCAGAAGTTAGAATCCATGGGCCATTGGATCGGTACCCGGTGAGTGGCTTAATGGTATACGAGCTCGTCTTGTAACCAGAAGGTCCTGGGTTCAAATCTTCCAATAAGTCCAAATCATGCGACAGTATACAACTATCTTTCACCATTGTGTTAAACCAGCAGCAACGTAAAGGAATACTGCCAGATGTCATCAAGTCTTCAATCTACCGTTTACTCCACATTTAGAAAGTATGTGGAGTAAATGTAAATCTACCAAGTGGGGGAAAACCTGTCGCCCAAGTAAAAACATCCTATTTTCCAATAACATGCAGGCCAATTTAATTGCATACAGTTGTCAACACCGTTAGATGCTATCGAAAATAGCATATATCAAAGCAGTTGTATATGTGGGAATGTGACGAATGAGACTCCCAGAGAGATAGATATACACTAATCAAATATTAGTCTGGTCATTAGATATCAGATGTATGTATTATGCATGAATGCAGTTCTACTTTACACCTATGAAACCTGACCTTATCGATGTGGGTCATCCTTTGTGATACTGTTTATTGGGTAATCGTTTTCTCCATAAGATTGCTTACATCCGCTGTTGATACCATAAAAGCAATTTTGAAGTCCGGTGGTGTATTTTGACACGGTAGAGATCATCTTTCTATAAGTGGTGACAACTGAGAACACTGGATTCAATGATTAAGGTATGCTATCTTCCATATCGTCCATTGTTTGTTAGCTGTGGTATATAGTTGGGACAAAATGGAGAGGTGGTCAGCTTATGGTGTGACGTAACGAAATAAAGGGTAGTTTTGTAGAGTTAGCGTCTGTTGATGCATCACTGTTTCCTTGGTGATAACCAAGAGACCATGCCATTCAGTGACTCGAGATATCGCTCAGAATTGAAAGCAATGGCAAACATGCTGCAATGTCTTCATCATTACTTTTCTTTCTGAAATAATACAAAGTAATGGACGTTCCTGACTAGTAGACTTATCTGTTTGCTTTTTTTTACATTCTATTCATCGTTAACTACTTTTATTCCTCTCTTCCATAGCATTGTGTGCTTGTGTGGTACCAACTTTGTTTGACACAACAAGTAATAATGAGAGTTAATTCTAATCTGATTCTCTATTCAAAGCCTACAATCAGCTCTTACTATATAGACAGAATAAACTTGCTATAATTACTATATCTTACTATAAAATGTTATTCTGAAGCGAGGAAAAGCATGTTCAATCTCGTAGCAGCTAGTTGGCACATTGATTATCTCTCAACTACTATCAGCTTTAGATGGAAAGACAAAACCAGCTTATCAATGACACGCCTGTGAACTGAGAAATAATTTAAGAGTTTTAGCCTGACAAAACCTTATTAAGGATTTAGATTTTTCATTATTAATTCAATACATGTTTACAAACAAATTGAAGTATACTCATAAATAAATCCTTATATGATGAATATAGATCAGATCTTGTATTCCTTTTTTAAATAGTAATCAGGGGGTGTTCAGAAAAGCTCAGCAAAATGAAATCCTGTAACCAATCAATCAAATGCCTACAAACCAATACTTGAATACCAATGAGATGCTGCTCACTAGCGACTAGCCCTATTCAGGTAAGTGTAGTTACCTGGGGTTCTAGTGGGAAGTCATGACCAGTAAGGGTATAGCAGGTTGAGTGTAAGGACAAATATTCGCCACCTATGACATTGGTTAGTGCAAGTTGCGTCATATCATGAACCAGCTTGCCTTGTAACAAAAATGTCCTGGGTTTGATCCCCGGTGGAAGCGTACTGGTGAAGAGTCCCAAACTAGGACGAAACAGCCGTCAAATACTCCTAAGTTTTCCAATGGTTCTCTAACTAACTAATGTCAACTCACATGATGAAATCCTACAACCAAAATAAGTAGTTGTTGCAAGAACTTTCAAGTGTTTAAAATTGAAGCTTAAACTATTGGATAATGACAGAGTAATGTTAGACATTGCACTTTTATGACATCTAATGAGGATGTATACTACCTTTTTTGATGTCGAAATTATGCAGTAGTATATAAGAGGCATTCACCAGGAAATCTTTTAAGTGAAAATTTCATATCCACTTAGACCTGTTTAAAACATTCAACGTCTGTCTATCCCACTTATGAATTGCCTAAATATTTAGCCATGGTATTAAATCCTCTAAAAAGCCACTCAAAATCTAGACTAATTAATTCTTATGAACTAAAACACAGATTAGACAATTTAAAATTAGATAATGAAGAAAAAATGGTTAGTTTTGACATTGTCAGTTTATATACACGTATACCAATAAATATGGCTATAGAGGCGGTCAGAAACGAACTCATTTCTGACCAAGAACTCAAACTTAGGACAAAAGTGCTAGTTGAGGACATAATGCTGGGAGTACAGATATGCCTGACTTCCACAGTGTTTAAATTCCAGGGGAAAATTATGCAAACAAACTGAGGGAGTTGCCATGGGATCACCAAAATCCCCGGTTGTAGCAGATATATTCATGGATTGGTGGGAAAGCATAACGATTGAAAGGTTAACCCCCACCCCAAAAATATGGTGGAGGTATGTAGATGACATTCAACGTCTGCTTCCATCTTACTTATGAAAGTATTCCCCAGTACAATTACTCCACAAATCCAACCCTATAATTATATATAGTTCTGAATCCATATATTCTAATGTCGGATTAAATCAATACAGCCAACCATTCATAATAACATGCGACTGAGCACTTACATTCATGAGATATGATACAACATCTGAAGGACCATGGCGTACAGCTATCTTGTAAAATGTTGAACGTAAATCATTTGGTATTTCTTTTACACCGGATCGATGATCTTCGAAGCATTGTTTGACGTGTTGAATAATATCAGCATCTTCTGCTTGACCACCAGCAACAGACAGAAGTAACGATCTCATCAAACTAGAATTATGTGGCAGTGGTTCCAGGCTTTTAGAACCTGTAAAATAATATAACATAAATATTAAGTATCTGATTTAATATTATTCAAAAACAACTATACTATGTATTGAGGATGAAAAATGCACAGTTGAATCCAGAAAGTCGAGACTGTATTCAAGTGTAATCACCAATATAATTCACAAGTTAACACAAGCTATTACACTCAGTTTCCAGATAACTTGGATAGATATCAGTATTGATCTAGCTAATTTCTACGACTGAGATATTATATGGGTGTTGTATTAATTCTTCTGTCCACTGACTTGTTGCAATCAAATGTGTTAACTTGGGACGGATACCTTAACTTCACATGCTAAAGTGTTTTTTTCTATTCAACAAAACTTATCTACATATCTTACTTATACTATACTTACTACTTAAATCAAAGGACTATCTAATTTTTTACCTACAACAAATTGCATCTTATTGACTATATTTCATCTTGTTTCAGTCGTGCGAAGACAAACACTCGCCACCGGTGTCATTCGTTAGTGCCAGTAGTGCTATATCATGAATTGGCAGAAGCTGGAATTCATGGGCTGGCCATTGAGTCGGGCCCCAGTGGTTTAATGATCTACGCGCTCGCCTTGTGACCAGAGGGTCCTGGGTTCGAACCCTATCGGTGGGTACGTAATGCCGAAGAGTCCTAGACTCGGACGAAACAGCTGTCTAATACCCCCCCACGTTTTCCAATGGTTCTCTAGCCAACGCCAGCTCATATGATGAAATCCTGTAACCAATCAAATTTCCCCCCCCCCAAAATTTGAACACTGAATTACATCTCTGCATCAGTCACATCTATTTCCAAATAAGTTTCAATCTACTGTTAGGAAAATCGATGGAAAACATCGCAGATTGTTAGAGTGCGATTTGGATAAACGATATATTAACGACTACACAACAAACAAATACTTTGCAGAAGAAAGAACATGCTGACAATCGTATATTATGCATCAAAGCATTTTAGAATAACATTATTATTATTATTACGTCATATAGGAGCTAGGAGAATAATAAAAAGGTTTTTTATTTCGTCATATAAAACTAAAGATCATATAATTTAGACAATAAAAATAAAAATGATAAGAATACTAAAGTTTTGAACAATACAGCTTACCTAATTTATCTATTAATGGACGAACTAAACTCAACAAGAAATTATTGTAAAGTTTAGGAGAAATATCACTGGATTGAACAATTCGTCTAATATATCCATTAAGGCCATCGCCAAGAACACCACGCCAAACAGCATATTCCTTTTCATTACTGAGTAACTTTGGTAACATTAGAAGCCAGTCATGGATACTGATATAACCAGCTTTAGCCTGTAGCAATCAAAGAAGCATATGCGTAAAATAAAGAATGTGAAACAATTATGTGGAGAATGTTGAGAAAAACATTTGATGACGTCCAGACACAGTAACAGTAATAATGACTGCGATATCACAGTTCCATGGCAAAAAATATACTTTCATCTGGGAATGACTGTACAGTTTGGTCTGTTATTATTAATAATTAAAATAAAAACAGGTTAACAATTATACTACTGGGCAACACCAACAGCAACAACAACAGACAACAATCAGCCAGCATAAATGGGAGGAACCTGAAAGAAACAACCTCCTTTACCTACCCACCTACCTGGGAAGCATCGTTTCAACTACAGGCGAATGGAACTGACGAGGATATCAAAGCCAGAATCGGAAAAACAAGACAAGCTTTCATTTCTCTCAAGTCTGTGTGGAGGTCAACAGCACTCTCTGTATCAAGAATAACATCCGGATTTTCAACTCCACTGTGAAGTCAGTCAGTGCTAATCACTATACAGATCAGAGACTTGCACTGCGCGTCATAAAGAGCACCTCAAACAAACTACAGACCTTCACCTTCGCTCAATACCCAAGATCAGATGGCCAGAAAAGATCAGAAACAGGGAGGAATCTCTGGGAGAAAACCAACAAGGCACCGATTGCGCAACAAATAGGCAGGAAGAAATGGAGATGGATTGGCCATACGCTGAGGAAACCATCAAGTGACATCACTAGACAAGCCATCGCTCGAGTGGAACCCGATTGAAAGGGAAGCGGCAAGTTGGTCGTTAGTGTGAGGGTGACTTGGAGGAGGTCATGTGAAGAGGAGATGAAAGCATGTGGGCAGACTTGGAGCCAGGTGAAAACTCTAGCAGGAAACCCAGCACAATGGAGACGCGCCGCTGAGGCCCTATGTTCCTCTAGGAATCAAAGGAAATAATAACAATATAATAACAATAATATACTACTGACTGATTGACATGAGTAGTCGGACACCACTCACATCCAACCAGTAGTGCTTGTTTGCCAGGTGACCGTTCTGCTCATTCAGGGCCAAGATCAGCTCAAACCACCCGAATAATAGATTTTTGCGAGGTCAGTTAACTTTCAACAGCTAGAATTTATTCTGTGATATTGCAAATTTTTAACGCTTTTTGTTTTTCTTAATGTTATAACATGTAAACGATTGTTTCTCACCAACTCATTTGTTGTGTTACTTAAATAACAAGTCTATTCGATTTAATGGGTGATGAAAACATAACGCTTTCCGGAGGGACAAAAATAAGATGAAACCGTAGTTGATATATGTGTTGTCTCACTCACAATTTTGTATAGGTTGACATAATGTGGCAGAGGTGCTACTTATAATCAGATATAAGTAGTATATCAGTAAACGAATTCAGAAAAGTAACAATATGCTTTGGGAGACTGGAAATAGCACTCGAAGAAGAGAACTATGATAAGAACGTTACAACACTGTACACAGAGAGTCCAACAAACTATCGAATGTAGTGATATTAGACAAATTCTCAAATGATGCGCCAAATTCCCATCCTAATAAACATTGCATTCGAGTTTCATCGGTCTTTTCTACTCTACAATAATATATACTGTTCAAGCTACGGTTTACTAGTTAGTAAAAAGTATCAACAAGTAAAGTATGCGTTTGCTGTATTCAAGTGTAAATTTTTCTTAGAATTTTGTTAATGGTGAATCATTGTAAATTACTAAAAGCGCTTACGTGTTGATATCCTCTCTCAGAGATGCATTATGTTTCCAACTACCTCATTAACAGGTCTAGGGAAAGCTAGGTTTATAACGACTCAATTTGTACATTTCTAATCAATGTCCATTTATACTTAGATATACGCTTACTATGACCGACACTGTTTGTAGTGTTGTCTTCAAAACAAATAGAGTACAACGTAAGTGATCCTGGTGTCTGAAGAAAATCGAGTCCAATGAATTTAATCACCACAATACATTGATTTCAATTTTTTACTTATTACTATTCTACATGGAATACCACAAACTAACTTTAGAACTCGACTTTCACTCAGTGAGGCTTCGGTTCAAAAAATCCCCCTCCACCTACTTCAGCAGCCTTCATGCAATAAGTGTTGCTCATAGCCTGGAACATGAAAGACCTGTTTCGGGGGTGGAGTTTAAACAACAACTTTAGAACACTTTAAAGGAAGACGGAGAAATTAGTCCATAAGCAATAATATACCTTCTAGTACATAACACTTTGTAAAATGCTGCTCAAGAAAAAATTGCTTTCTACAGACAATATCAAACGCAGAACCAAATTTCAATAAAATAGACATCTAAAACAAACGATAATGAAAGGATGACGAACAAAATGAGACATGAAAGACTTGTTAGAGATCTTCGTGAAACCTCTGTTTTATTTATTCCATTATGTTCTGAATATAACAATGCGCTTCAAGCTTCAGCTTTGAAGTCTTAGTAGCAGGAGTGTTTTCCCTACGGGATTCAGTTGCCAGCTTCGTGTTCAGCCTTTCCTCTTTACAGAGCTTACCACTGGTCAAGTGAGATTTAGAAGTGTGTCGACCGGCAAACAAATCCATTAAAACAATCTAATCCCCTTACTCTAGTAACACTATTCAAACTTCCGTTCTTCGTAGAATTTAAATTTATGGATTACTTTTACATTTCACCTTAGCTGTTACTTTTGTGGAGCACATCTTTGTGTCGATAATGCATAAGAATTCTTGTGTGTTTAAAACAGTGTTGAGATAAACTAATCGCCAACTCGTTTCTCTTTAATTAACCAAAAGGAGACTGAGAGTTGTACACTATCACAGGTTGCAAAGAGGTGATAACAATCTAATGAAACAGGAATAAATCTTGTCACTCCATTCGACACAGTGCCATTCCTCATCTGTAATTTACAGATACCAGTTACTAAGCTAACACATATCAGTCATTTACTTACTCGAGCTCTTCATTGTTTATTGTACATATGATGGCTGAAATTTGCTTAAACGCCTAAAACAAAATACGACTTTTAAAAACATGGGATCACTTTTTACATAAGTGAGATTAACTGGTCTATTCCTATGGTTGCCGATAATTGCTACCTTGTCGTGGTTGTCGGGCTTGAATACCGTAATGACCCAACATGCTAAACTGACTGGGAATCTGTCCCTGCAGCTCCTACCATGTCAGGAAGGTTGTTTGGATAGCGGTTAAACTAAAAGCAGTTACCATGGGTTACATGGGCTCCAGTATCCAATCGGATCAAATGGCGTATGAACCCATATGGGACACCGGAAACCATGGGAATGCACTCCTGACGCTGCTCCGCTGCCTTTCGGATTAGACTCCAAGTCAAAGGCTCGTGGGGTGGTCCCTTAATAAAACCACCTGCTTCGGTCTGGGCGCCCGGGTAGTATCTCAGCCCTCACACAATGAATCGAATGAAGCAACAAACAATCAATGAAACTTATCGCGTGCTATAACACGTGCTGCAGTTTCCTTCTCTCTTCCCTTCCTGATGATAGTTAACGAATACTGTTTGAACTTGTTAAGCATGACTGTTTTCCTTCCAGATGAAGTTCTTTATCCGTTCTCTACTTATATATATATATATATATATATATATATATATTGTCTTATTATTATTGTGTGGCACATCCTTCTTGGTGCCATATTGTACCAAGTTTTTATGCGTTTGAATAAATAAATATATGGTTGCCGGTGGTGAAAGTTGACTCGTACATTTACCATTTATCTCGCGATATGTATTTCATGTGCACTATTAAATAATAAATCCCCCTAAGTAGATTCTCTTCATTATTAGTGTTACATTATCGTGCCATTGGGTTCCAACTGGAAGGAACATGGGGCTTCAACAGCACGCCTCCAATTCGTTCTATTTTCTACTGTCTTCTTCATATGGGTCCACGATTGCTCATAATCTCGCATCTCCTCCTCGCCAAACGATCTCTTCCACGTCACCCTTGCGCCAACGACCCACTCATTGTATTCCATTCAGGTTCCACTGGAGCGATGAACTGGTGCGCGATTTCATTCGACAGTCTTCTCAACGTGTGCCTGATCAATGCATCTCCATTTTCTCCTACGTTTTTGCTGAGCAATAGGATCTTGGTGGGTTTTTTTACCCATAGTCTCTTGTTGCTAATTATTTCTGGCCATCTGATAATGAGAAGTCAATGAAAGATCACGGAAGATGAATGCATTTGAGCAATCAAGAACGATTTTGGATCATGTGAGATAGTCTGCACCTCCCTACATAATTCGGACATGATCCACATGATCCAAAATCGTCCTTAATCACTCAAATGCATCTTCCATGATGTAGTTTCATTGACTTCTCTGTACCTCCCTACATAATTCGGCTATCAACCAAGGGACGTGTGTACTGCTCAGCAGTTCGCTCCGTCCTTCTCTATGGCTCTGAAACATGGCCAATACGCGTTGAAGACATGAAAAGGTTGACCGCTTTCGATCATAGATGCCTGCGATCCCTGTCTCTCGTTAGGTGGTTTAATAAGGTAAGTAATGTTGACGTTAGGCGTAGAGTGTTGGACAAAGAGGGAAAATCAATCGACGAGGCTATAAAGTTACATAGATTGAGATGGCTAGGTCGGTCGCGTGCTACGCATGCCTAACCATCGCCTCCCCCGACGGGCATTACTAGCTAGCTGATATAGGTGTAGGTTGGAAAAGAGTAAGTGATGGCCAAACAAAAACATGACCTCATCAATCCATGAAATCCTTGACAGTTAAACTGAGTCAGGTAGGGAGGGAGATGAAGACTTCCGTCCGGGTTGGGGCCCTCGGGACTCTAGGAATCAATGGCTGGAGACAATAGGTAACATGGCTCAAAATCGTTGTCAATGGCCAGCGCAGATGTATTCAGTCTCTGTAATCTTTCATATTCCTTTCTACCATTACCCATTCTGTTTCACTCTTATACTTGTCAGACTGTATTGATTCTCTTCACTCATCTTCTTGTCTACCTCTGTGTGCTATTTGGAACGTGGCAACTCGAACTGGTGCACTTCGGTGCCAAGTTCGGTGTTGAATCCAGACAGACAGACCCTACATAATTGAAAGCAATAGTTAAATACTTCAAGGATTGATGTTATGCTTTGATTTTGCCATGCCTGACTGTTTCACAACTTAACTAGATGTCACGTAAGAGTGCTCGACGAGGAACACAATGGCTTAGCATGCATGACACGTGTCCTAACCATCTCAATCGATGTAGCTTAACAACCTCATCGACTGACCTACCCTCTTTACCTAAAGATCTACGCCTAACCTCAGTATCACTCACCATATTATACCATTTAGCAGGTGAGATAAAATTCCTAAAGCTTTTAAAAGATATTTAACTATAATTCGTATACTGTAACAGGCATTTTTCGTTTTTCTTCATTATAATCTAGACACTTTACCTATGTAGCACAGTAGTGCTTTTATTAAAATAAGAACAGAACTTGGACATTTTTCCATTCACGTTCCCCAGTGGAACATAGGGCTTCAAGCTAATGGCATGAAGTTTCTGTAGCAGTATTTAATTTTACAGGATGGGGCTGCTAGCCTCATGCCCAACCTTTCCTCTTTATCAGGATTATTTATGGCTTAGCGAGGTTAAGCAGTGCGTCAGCCGGGGATCGAACCTTGGACCATGTGCGCGGTCGGCGAGCTTCTTAACCGCTATGCCACGCCTTTATTAATATAAGAACAGAACTTGTACATTGAGGTAGAGTAAAAATTCTCTATGATGGAATAATGCCTTCAGTCATTCAGCTTCGAATTCTACTTTTGAAAAAAAAATGTACATTGTCGTCTTAAAATCATTTGAATTTCTAGACAAAAAACAACAAAACAAAGACTTACTAGTGCGAATCCATCGTTAATGAACATAAAACGACTAGAAGTTGTCCATTGACCCAATTTCATATCATCAATTAAAGTATTCATTTGTTTTGCATCATATCGTGTATGATAAAATCCTGTTGCATCTGCATTCGCGCGTATTACACAATCATCAAGACTGATTGTTTTGATAGGCCAGTTGAGCGGGATATCAACTTCTTCTGATGCAGATTTTAAAATATGCTTAAATACAAGTGAATACTTTCCATTTTTAGTAGAACAAGTGAGTGATATTGGTACAGGCCAAAGTTTGCCATCGTCTGTTGAATCTATTTAAGAAAAGAAAATATATATTCACAATCTTAATTGTGGGAAAGAAATGGTATTGAATAAAGTTGAATTTGTTACAGGATTTCATCATGAGCTGACATTAGTTAGAGAACCACTGGAAAACCTAGGATTACTGGATAGTTGTTTCGTCCTAGTTTGTGACTCTTTAGCAGTACGCACCCACCGGGATTCGGGGGGTCACGCTATGTCGTCAATTGGCAGAAGTTAGCATTCATGGGCCATTGGATCGGGTTCTAGTGGCTTAATGGTATACGAGCTAGCTCGCCTTGTAACCAGAATGTCCTGGGTTCGAACTCTGGCCGGTGGGTGCGTACTGCTCAAGTGTCCCAAACTAGGACGAGACAGCTGTCCAGCACTCCCAAGTTGAAGTAAATTTCACACTAGCCCTATCCTTAAACCTAACCCTAATGACAATCCTTATCCTGCCGTAAACCTAACCCTAATCCCAATTATAACCATAACCCTAACCCTAAACCCAATACTCGCCTTAACCCTAATTCTAACCCTAACGAGATGTTAACACATTGTCCAAACAGTAATTAAAAGTGTTATCTGGGTGAAACTTGCTCCTTACTTGATGAATAGCGTTCATATTTCAGCTATGATAATGACAGGTACCGTTAGCCAACGACTAGCATGCGTTCAAGGTCATTTGAGCGTTCGCACTCCTGGGACGCTATCCTTGTACTTCGCCAGAATCCTAATATAATATGATGCAAAATTATTGACTGCATTGGCTCAGATTCATTTATACTCTGTCTTCTTTACCTTACTGGCAATGTTTATGATTATTATTATTATTATTATTTTACTTTGTCTTCCTCTGTCTATTTTCGTCCTCTGCATTATTTCCATCTCTTTGCTCCACCTTTTCATCGACTTCTCTACTTCATGTGAAGATTATGAAGAAGAGTAATTAGAACTAGCACTCACTTATATATATTTAAGGCTGTCTGATATTCCCACTATAACAACACTTCGATTCACTTTGACACATACACATCAAAAGTATTATTGCACTGTGAGAACACTTGAGGCGATTTCTTAAGACAATGATAAATGCATCATCAAACTAGTCGCTGAATGATAAATAATATATAACTATGCTAGAGGCGAATATTGATTGAATGTGTATTGTTCTTATGATGACAAACCATTAGACGACTTTGTAAAGCATGAGATACGTTTTGTTCTCATGTTAAATAACAAAAGGTAATAATTACGTTGAGTTTCACGCACGGTGACACCCACAACAGCAGGATGAATCTATACACTCAGAGGAATTTACGTGTTTTATCGAACCTTCATCAAATTGAGTCATTTAATAACATGAAGTCATACTTCAGATTTGTAATCAATTGACTGAGTTTCAATACAGAACTTTGCACACACGTGCAGCAGTTCTGTTCTGTTTTCGAATTAGAATTTTGCTCCGATGCGCGCCAGTTCAAGTCGCCACAATCCATGTATCACACAAAGAAAGACAAGAAGGTAGAAGAATAGAGACAGTTAACAGAGGTGTGAGACAAAGGAATAGAAGTAACGAAGAACAAAACAGTTTCACTGGAAATCAAAAGTCATAAGAAGTGAATGCATCCGCCCCAACCATTGAGAACGATTTTGAGCCGTGTCACCAATTGTTTCCAGCCATCGGTTTTTACCGTCCCAAGGACCCCAACCAGGAGACCAGTCTACACCTCCCTACGTGGCTGGCCGGCTTAAACTAACTGTTGTGGATTTCATTGACTGGTGAAGCCATGTTTTGGTTTGACCGCCGCTAGCTCTTCTCCAGTCTGACCCTATGTCAGCTAACATTGCCCATCGGTCGGGGAAGGCGATGACTATGCATGCATGCGTAGCACGTGTCTTAACCATCTCAGTCGATATAGCTTCACAGCCTCGTCGATTCATTTCCCCTCCCACCTACCTAGAACTCGACGCCTAACCTCAATATTGCTCACCTTATTATACCACTTCACACGGGAGACAAAGCGTAGGCACCTATGATCAAAGACAGCTAGCCGGCGTTTTCATGTTCTCCACTCTCAATGGCCAGGTCTCACAGCCATAAAAGACGTAGCAGTTCTACTTATCACACTCTATGTGACACACAGAGAAAGACAAAAGGGAGAAAAAAGAGGTTCAAAAAAGCGATAGTAAGCAGAAATGCGAAGGAGAAAGAATATTAAAGTGGAATAAAAACAATAGGGATTGATGGATATAAAAAATCACAAAGAGTGAGTGCATCTGAGCCATTGAGAACGATTTCGAGGCATACCACCACCAATTATCTCCAGTCATTGGCTCTTAGAATCCTGTTGCCCCCCACCAAGCAGTTTGCACTTCATTAAGTAACAGTTAAAGATTACACAGACGGATTTCAAGTTTTGGTATATCCACCAGTAACTCTCTCTCTCTTTTCCAACCTCATCCTATATCAGCTAAAATTGCTTGTCAAGGATGGAGATGAGGTTAGACATGAGTAACACGTGTTGGCCACCTCAATTAATGTAGTTTCACAACCTCATCAATTGACTTTCTCTCCAAACCTAGCACCCTACACCTAATAACCTCAGTAGTATTCACCCTGTCAAACTGCCTAACACGGGATATAGAATGTACGCAGCTAGCCTTTCTTCGACTTCCAAGAACACATTATAATAACTTCCATTATGTTTTAAGTGCATTAGAATGCAAAAAACTTCAAAAAGAATCGTTAAAACATAAATGCGACATATTATAGTGTACATTGGACTCTTGTATATTATTAACTAATCCGTCTTAATAATACAGCTACTATGTAGACAGAGTAGAAATCTAGACAAAGCAAGAGTACTTAAACTGCTATTATTATTTTCCATACCAAAACTGTTTTCTCTGTTTATGCTGTAGTCACGAATAGAAAATCACCGAGTACAAAACACACCAGCGTTTTTGTTCTTTTTTAAACTTGATATAGCCTAAATACCTAGTCCTACTTTAGAGACACAATGTATGTGTCAAAAATGTGTTTAGATTGCCTTCAGGTCTGACGAGAATTTTAATTAAACCTACCAGCCTTAACAGACAAACATAAAAATTGGAACATTAATATTGTTTTTGAAGACAAAACAATTTTTTATAATTCAATTAAACCACAGACATATTTTAGTGAACAGTTTTCTATTTTAAATGTGACAGAAAAGATTAGCGAAAGATTACCTACAGATAGATATCCAAGTGATGAAAACGCAGTCTACAATGACTTAACTGCTGCATAACACTAGTTTACATTCCAACACCACCTTGTCCTACATTCTACTTCTGATTTATGCTTATTTATCTTCTGATTGTTTTCTTTTGTATGTTCTGAGTGGATGATAGGGTTTCAAGCTTGAGTCTTGAAGATTCACTTGTTTATACGGGATGCGGCTGTTAGCCTAACACCCGACCTTCCCTCTTTACCTGCCTTTGTACCGCCTAAGCGAGGTTTAGGAGTGCGGCGGCCGGGATTTGAACCCCCGACCACTGAACCATAGAAGCACCACCACATAGCAGCAGTATAAGTGTGTGTAACAAACAAATATTCAAAACAGTATTCTCACTGTTTTAATAAAGCTCACTCGTAAAAAGGTTAATTATTGCTTAAATGAAATATGTATATGAATGTTAATCCGGACAGGAAAGAAAGTGGAGACATTTTCAACAAATTTGGTAATTTACTTGAATTTTAGATTTTCCCATCGATTGATTAGACCGAAGCCGACATGTCAACCTGAGACCGGGCATTTCGGTCCAATCAATCGACGGGGAAATCTAAAATTGAATTAAATTAATATAACCCGTTGCACAAGAGGTGGCTGGCTCTCGTGGCCCAAGTGGTCTAGTGAATAACGCTTCGGCGTTTGAAACTATGGGCACTGGGTTCCAGCCTCAGCGGGAACATCATCACTCACTGGGAGATGCAGGCACAACCAACTGATGAGTCTAAGCTAGGACGAAATGAGCATCCTGGATTCCACTGCTAGTCACCATCCACCGATTAAATTCTATTGGGTAATGCTAAAGCTTATGATAGATGCGGACTTAAAATTACTTTGAAGTGAAAAGAAAGGATATTTTAGATGACAAACACTGTTGTGCCACAAAATGGGTCTCACATAATGCTCACTTGTTCAGATGTTGTACTAATGATTCAAAATATTAACAAATAATTTATAAAATGCTAAGAAGGTTACGACAAAACACTGAAGTATAATATATAAAAGAAAATGCACTGAAACATACCCTTTGTAAATTCCGATCGGAGTTTATACTGTTCCTGTGATAACTTCACTTTTAACTGATTGTTAGTCACGCTTAACGGTGAAACAGATACAACTGGGAATCCAACATTGCGAGTCCATGGACGCATTATACTTCCAACATCTATACCTGAAGATGAACTAAGAGCAACCCAAAGATCTTCTGTGACAGCATTTCCGTAAGCATGCTTTTTAAGATACAGTGACAAACCGGAACGGAATGCTTCATCGCCTAGAAATGCATGGAGCATATGTATAAGACTAGCTCCTTTGCAGTAAGATATGTGATCGAAAATTTCATTAATTTCATCTGGATTTGTAACTTCTACTGGAAAGTAATTGCCAAAAGAAAACGGAAGAATTAATAAATATCACAAGCAATACATTATTATTATTTCCATGCGTCCCGAGTGGAACACAGGGCTTCAACAACACATCACTACTTTGTTCAATTTTCTGCCGTCTTCTTCAGCTGGGTCCACGATTGACCAGACTTCCTCATCTCTTCTTCACACGATCTCCTCCGTCGTCACTTCCCCTTTGGGTTCCAATCGAGGTTCTGCTTGATGCGCGATGTCATTCAACGGTGTCCACAGCGTGTGTCCAATTTATTTGCAATTTCTCTTACATATTTGCTGAGCAGTACGTTCTTGGTTGGTTCGTTCTCAGTCAGATTTTCTGGCTGCTGATTTTTTCTGGCCATTTGATCTTCAGTATTGATATATATATCCATATAATATGTGTGTTTTGTTTGACAGTCTGTCCTTGGTGATATATATCCATATAATGTGTTTGTTTGACAGTCTGTATATTTGCTATGTATATATGGATCGATATTACATTATAATTAGCCAATCATGTTAAGACTGTCTATTGATTTGTTCATTTTGAATATTCGCTCACACACTTGTGTTCACACACTTGTTCGGACATTCATATATATTTTTGCTCACACTTGTGTGACATCGATTCTCCTTGTGTTTTGGAAAATAGAAGTATCATCGCAAACCTAGTGGTCTTCTGATTTCCGTCTTTCTTGCGTCAGGACTATTAAATTCTCGACCAGTACATAACAAGTATGAAGCCAACAAAGGTAGTTGTTGATAAAAGTTTGTCGTAGGCTGTTGGAAATCCCTTTTGTGACACATTGGTCAAGTTTCTAACCCGTATAAAAGCACTGTCTGACTCCATATTTGTATTGAAAATCCGAAACTTGTTATTTACACTGAGTGCAGAAGATTTCCAAACTGATTTCAGAGTGGTAAAGGTGTGCCTTGCCTTTCCGATTCTGGTTTTAACATCCTCATCCGTGCCATCCATCTGTGGTTGAAACAACGCTTCCTGGCCAGATAAGGAAGGAAGTGACCTCTGTTGAATCTCTCCTGTTGATGGTGATTGTGGTGCTGGTTGCTGTTACTATTGGTTGGCTATCTTCACCACCTTTGTTCACCATGTTCACCTGCAGTCCTTTTTCGCTGATTCTTCAGCTAGTTTGTTGATTTCTACCTGCGAGTCTTCGAGTTCGTGTGACATTAAACATATATAATCCACACGCAAAATTCAGATCTTCTAAAGTCTTATTATCGGTCAGTGCAGCGTGCTCCTGCCTTTTCACTCTCAAGCACAGTCTGACGCATGATCCAGTCCACCACAATTAAGAATATCATCAATGATAATAGGCAGTCAGCCTTGTCTTACTCCTGTATTCACTTCGAACGCCTCGGTGAGTTTTCCGTTGTGGACTACCTGACACTTAGCATTGTCATACAGACAGCTGTAGAATGAGACTGGTAACGACTTTGGCACTGCACACCGTAGTGTTGAGGTAGTTTCCAAATTACTCCTCGGTCAACGCAGTCAAAGGCCTTTACGAAGTCAACGAAGTTAAGGTAAGGGTTTGACTAGCAGTCTATGCTTTGTTCGAAGATGATGCATAGAGTTGCAGTTACAGGTAATGTATATATATCAGAAATATTATTGACGCTAAACCATTTAGTCTTCCCTGTAACTCCCACTCAACGAAATACTGTCTTGTTATTATTAGGGTACACTCTCGTCGACTTACAGTATGCAGATGATATAGTTCTTCTAGGTGAAGACGCTGATAAAATGCGCCTTTTGTACACTTTGAGTGGAAATCTTAGTATGTGACTTGACCATGCCAAATGTAAGATAACGCTGGGGGAGCGGTTTACACCAACTCCTAGTTTACAGATATAGAGTGAAATGGTAGAGCGTGTTGACCACTTCACTTAGTTGAGAAGTTGTACCAGCCCTAATGGGCAGAATGCTGAAACGGATACAAACACCTCATGTGGAGTTTGCATTATCTTTGGCCTACACTATCCGGCTATCAGTCAGAAGGCGTGTGTGCTGCACAGAAACTAACCCCGTTCTTTTAACGGCTAGGATTTAACCGTTGCAAGTGGGTGATATAAACAGACTGGATGTCTTTGACCGCATTTTATCTCTTATGTAGGATGGTAATTATATGGTCAATGATATTGAGGTCAGGCGTAGACTGTTAGGTAGAAAAGGAAAGTTAGTTGATTAGGTTGTCAAGCTGAGACTGAGATGTGTGATTCACGCTAAACCACCTCATTACTCCTCTAATAATTTTTTGGTACAGAATTTGGCTGGAAAATAGCTAAGGGTGGTGAAATCATAAAATGGCATCAATCTATGAAGCCTATGGAGGTTCGTTTGAGCCACATAAGGACTCGCTGACAGTCTTTCTGAGCTCCTCGATACGCTAACAGCCAACAGCTGGAGACAGTTGGTGATATAGATCTAAATCGTTCCTAATGACTCAGATACATTCAGTGTATTTTCGCCCAGATCCACTAACTTCTCATTATTCTCCATTCAACCATTCTTTCTCCCGTAAACTTGTGTTCAGTATGGTTTCTTTGCACTACTTTCTCACCGCCTTAATGTATACTTCATAAGTTATGGCGAATTGAACAGCTGTACCTTTTTGCAAAGTTCCAGGTTGAAAAATTAGTTTTTTTCAGTTAAAAATATCGAACTAATAATATACTTAGGAGATCTATGAGATATTTCCAAAAAAATCTAACTCCTGGAAAAGAATCTGATGCTCACTAGTGACTGGCTATAGGATAAAGTTGACTGGAGTCCCTGTGAGAAGTTGTGACCAGTGGGATCCACCGGGTTGGGTATGAGAACAAAAAGTCGCCGATGACACTAGCCAGCTGTGGCGCTAAAATCGTGAATTGATAGAAGTTAGAATTCATGGGCAATGGGATTCCGACCCAGGTGGTTAGATGGTTAACAAGCTTGACCTCGTAACCTGATGATCCTAGGTTCAATCCCCAATGGAGTCAGGACAGGAGCTCCATACCAAGTGCTGACAGATGCCAATGCCCTTTCCTCTTCCCTTATTATTATGCTGATTTATTACCGCTATTGATTATAATGAAGACTTCGCGCCAACATAGCGCTTTCACATTCCTGTTAGTCAGTTTTACTATAGTTTTCTTTATAAAATGATTGTGTGTATTTTAGTTCCCAAGTAACAAATTTGTGGTCTGAGTGAAAGTTTGCGAAAAATTATAGTTATTAGGAATAAGGTTACAAAAAAAATAACTCGAATAAGCATACGAATAAGCGTTATATCATAGAATATACTTTGGGGCTTACTTCGATTGGATGTGAATTGGACAGCGCATCTAACAGTAGAGCATCAGCTAGACGGTGATACGAAAAACGTGTCTGCAAAGTGAAATAAAGAAGATGAAAGCCTTAAAAGACTACTTCATCAATCAAATATCTATAAACATTGGAATAAATAAGAACAGAACAATGCAGCAGCCTACTCATAAACAGTACACTAGGGGCTTTGAAATAAACTAAACTCTCTAAATTAAAAACCAGTGGTTGGACATGATTAATAGTATAGTACACAACTGATTCAAGTTACGATTCATTCACCGTTCCTATTAGTCTTTTACAATTGAATCCTGTAATATTTATCCCCTTTAATATTATTTTCTTGTTGTGTACTAACTCTGAAGTTACGCACTAGTATACACTCAAATAAAAAATGAACGACTAAACTCGAAGTTGTCAGTCACCATGAAAATCTGTGATGAGTTGTTTTTATGACCATCAATCTTAATAAAAGTCATCCCAATCACTCTTGTCCGTATCATTTTCTGTAATAACTAATTATACAAATGAAAAGCTTTAGAGCTAATAATTGTGATGAGCTTACATCTGCGTTCGGTTATTCAATATAATACTGTTATTAGACTGACAAGTTAATAGTATTTCAACACAGAGATATAAACCCTCAAAATATCTGTCTGTTTGTTTTCGACATAGAATTTTGCTCCGATGTGCGCCAGTTCAAGTCGCCACAATCCATGTATCACACAAAGAAAGACAAGAAGGTAGAAGAATAGAGACAGTTAACAGAGGTGTGAGACAAAGGAATAGAAGTAACGAAGAACAAAACAGTTTCATTGGAAATCAAAAGTCACAAGAAGTGGATGCATCCGCCCCAACCATTGAGAACGATTTTGAGCCATGTCACCAATTGTTTCCAGCCATCGGTTTTTACCGTCCCAAGGACCCCAACCAGGAGACCAGTCTACACCTTCCTACGTGGCTGGCCGGCTTAAACTAACTGTTGTGGATTTCATTGACTGGTGAAGCCATGTTTTGGTTTGACCGCCACTAGCTCTTTTCCAGTCTGACCCTATGTCAGCTAACATTGCCCATCGGTCGAGGAAGGCGATGACTATGCATGCATGCGTAGCACGTGTCTTAACCATCTCAGTCGATATAGCTTCACAGCCTCGTCGATTCATTTCCCCTCCCACCTACCTAGAACTCGACCGAAGCCTAACCTCAATATTGCTCACCTTATTATACCACTTCACACGGGAGACAGAGCCTAGGCACCTATGATCAAAGACAGCTAGCCGGCGTTTTCATGTTCTCCACTCTCAATGGTGAGGTCTCACAACCATAAAGGAGGACGGAGCGGACTGATGAGCAGTACACTCGCCCTTTGGTCGATAGTCGGATATCTCGTCTACGCCAGAGACGGCGTAAACCGACATATGCGAAACTAGCCCTCTGTATCCGTGCTGAGATTTCGTCAGAAATCAACCCGCTGGCACTGACTGATGGTACTTCCCAAGTAAGTGAAGCGGTCAACGTGATCTACCACTTCCCTTCCTATTTCAAATCTAGGAGTCGGTGTAGTTCAGTACTGTAACATCAT